TTTTTTAAAAATTTTGAAAGAGAGTGCAAGCATCAGTGGGGGAGGGGCAGAGAGAGAGAGGGAGACACAGAATCTAAAGCAGGATCCAGGCTTTGTGTTGTCAGCACAGAGATCGATATGGGGCTCGAACTCATGAACTGCAAGATCATGCCCTGAGCCAAAGTTGGACACTCAACTGACTGAGCCACGCAGGCACCCCAAGGATTAGTTATTCCTTACATAATCAATTGAATTAATTATGTCTCAAAACAAGTAAAAAAGTCATCAGTCTTACAGGTTAACTGGCCTATGCTTTTATCCATATTTGACTTGAATTCTGTCTTCGGTAGAATATTAAATATTTTTATTTTATTAGCTACAGAATTTAGCAGCATAAATTAAGCTGTTGGATGCATGTTCCTTTGTTACATTATGGTGTGCATTGGAGTTTTTAAGAATAAATTATGATTATTTTATCCCAACTCCCTCCCCCACCAAGTTGGTTGTCAAGGCTGCAATCTAGGAAGCCTCCTTGGAGGCGACTCTCTCACTCAGGGGCAGTGTTTCTCACTGCTGTCGAAGCCAGCCCTGCTGCTGGCTCCTTGACTCTACCGGTCTTTCCTTCCCCACCTCAAACCCACCTAAGCATACCTGCCTTCAAGCCTTATGCCTGCTCAGAAGCCTCCAGCAACTCCTTAGCACCAGCCAAACACAGCCCAATTCCACAGCTTGCCCCTTTCCTGGCCTTTCCTACTCCTTAGATAAGTTACCCTCTCTGAGCCTCCATTACTCATTTAAAAACTGTGGCCCATATTACAGACCATTCAGATGGGTTTTAAGGTTTGCATGTGGTCAAAGGAAAGACCCTCTTTCCTGGCACCTGGTGAGCTCTCAGAAAGTGTGATTTCTATTTCTGCCTTACGTACATTGCCCCCAGGTTAGATTACTTATTCTTAAACTTACCGAGCACTTTCCCAACTTTGGCTTTCTTTGTTGTGTGATTGCCTAATGACTGTCTGCACATTCGACTGAGAATTCTGAGGGCAGTGGGCACAGTTGACCTTGTGGGCTGCGTTGTGACCCTGGCCTGCAGCGCTGGGCCTAAAGCTCACAGTGGGCAGTTGGGAACCCACATTTCAGGGGATAGAAGCCCAGTTGACATGATACTATTTCCTAATGTTTTCCATTTTTCCCACCTTACGTTAGCTGCCGTTCTGTTTTAACTCAACTCACATGGTCCTGTTCAATGGTTATTTGTGAATAAATATCACCCGCTTAAAATGGCACCACATATTCTCATTGTGAACTTCTGTGGCTCCTAAGGACTAAAGAAGAAGGAGAGAAAGGATGGAAAGAAAATAACAAGATAATGAGCAGTGATGTTCCTAAGCAACGAAGCAAGCGAGTCACCACACAGACTGATGGCAGTGATAAGGAGTGGCTTTAAGGTTCCCAGAGCCAGGAAATCAGGCAGTAGTTGTGTCTCCAAGAAACTAAAGAATTAAACTGGGGGCCCCAGAAAAGCAATATTGAGTTAGTAGAATCTTTACTCCATCATAAATGCAACCATATATTATTTTTAGAAGCTGATTTAAGTATTTTCAGGGGTTGTTGAGACTTGGCATAATTTCTACCTTCAAAACCTAACCACTACCACCCCCATAAAATTAAACTCCACTAAATTATAAGCACTTGGAGGCAAAATCAGAGTCTTTTACATCTTGGTGTCGTCATAAGTCATAAAGATAGAACAACTTAGAAATCACTGTATCTTCCGGTGATAATCAGCCAACACATTCTTTTAGGGAATTCTCTTTGGCTATATATCAAAACGTATTGAGTTAACATACATTTGTCAAAAATCGGTACTATTTAGTCTCATCAATGAATTTGAAATTTCAAACACGGACTTGTAAAGACTCCATTGTGCTGTAAGTCTGGTAGATTTTGCCAAGTGCTGATAACATTTTTGGCATAGTTTCAGTTCTTAGTGGAATTATATATTTATTACCTAAGTTATATAAGCTATCCATGCTTACTTTAAAAAAAAAGTATATACTTAAGCAAAAAGAAGAAAAAATCAAATAAGAGTCAACTACCCAAAGATAGTGATTATTAAAGTTTGGTTTGTAATTACCATATTTTAAAAATCTCTCTGTGTGTATATGTATGTGTGTGTGTGTGTGTGTGTGTTCTCTTAATGAGTACTTGAAAATTACATTGACGGTTATAAAAACGAATCCTAGAATGTTAGCAATGAGCAATTGTAGCCTAAGCCCTTCATCTGAAACTGCAAGATTCTTTCCTAAGGGTAGAACATGGCTGGACTATAATTATAGCAGCTTTGAAAATATGAGGCCTTTGGGTCCCAGAATATAATTCATGTTTCTACTTGTTCAAATCACAGTGGCATAGGACTTCACAAACCCTTACTAGGTTCTAGAACAAACAAACAAAATACACAACAGGACAGAAAGAGGGAAATTAGATCAATGAAGATTCAGAATAGTCAGATAATGCCCTAATTAGATTGACAATAAACTTACTTATTGGTACTAAAGAAGTACATTGTAATTCCCACCAGATGATTGACACGGCTTGTGACTTTGGTAACCACTCTGTGCCTGTTTCCTCATCTGCAAAATGGGAAGTATCCCATTTTCCATTCCTATTTTCTATAAACCAAATGAAACACAGAATGTGAAAGTATTTTTTTAAGTTTATTTATGTATTTTGAGAGAGTGCAAGTGGGGGAGGAGCACAGAGAGGGGGAGAGAGAATCTTTTTTTTTAATGTTTGTTTATTTATTTTGAGAGAGAGAGAAGGGATAGAGAGAGAGAGAGAGTAGAGAGAGAATCCCCAGCAGGCTTCGCACTGCCAGTGTAGAGCCCAGTGCAGGGCTTGAACTCACAAACCGTGAGACGGTGACCTGAGCCAAGATCAAGAATCTGAGGCTTAACCGACTGAATCACCCAGGTGCCCCTGAAAGTATTGTTAAATGTAAAGGGCCATGCAAAGTAAGGTATTGTTGAAAGCAAGCTGAGGAGAACTAAATGCATAGACTAAAGGTCTAAGAAATCATAGATTTGTGCCTTCCCTGAGGCTGCAGACCTCTTCCCTGCTTGGTATCCCTGCCAGTTTGAATTCATGCTAAGGGCGAGGGAGGGAGGGTGTAGGGGAGGAGGGATGTTATATCATTATATTCATATTTCCTTCACACAACTAACACATTGCATCGTCATTCTTGATTTCTGTTTGTCTTCCCCACTAGTTAGTAAACTCTTCTTTAGCCCCGCTCCCCATCTCCATTATCCCTCCTCAAGACAAGTTTCCTCCATTCCTTCTCTCAGATTTTGCCAACCAGATAATTTCCCCTGAGCCCTTCTCCTCGCCCTCCTTCTCCTCACCGCCTTGAAAAGTTTCAGAAGCACCATTAACCCATCTTGATTTTTATATTCCCAGCATCTAAAAGAATGCCCAGCAGCTAACACTGTAGACAGTCAGTGAAAGTTGGTTGAGGGATGAATGAAAGAGAGGACTCAATTATTGTATCAGCCTTTGAGAACGCTCTCTTCCTGTCAGTCAAGGCCCCCTTCTATTTAAATCTTTGAAATTTGATCATGGACAGTTTGGGTTTGATTGTTGACGAAGGGCTATGACTTGTAATAACTTGTGATTTGCTGAAGAAAGAATGAAAATCAGGGACGGGACCAGGCCAGGGTTAACCTCCTGGGTTAGCCTTCCCAACCACCCACCTCCTCAACATGGCTTTGTTATCCAATTCTGCCATGTGTTCAGTGAGGCTCAAAATCTACCTCTTTTGACTCTGAAGCCCAAGTTCTTTCTTCTGTAGGCTTCAAAAAGATGAGAATTTTCAAAGCGTTTTGTTATCTCAGTTGACTGCAACAACAACCAGTGAAAGTGGGTACTATTATCATCTCCTTACAGATTAGGAAAGAGACTCAGAGGGGTTCAATGATGTGTGGAAATTCACCCAGCTAATAAGTGACAGAGAGGACCCTAGAAATCAAGGTCACTGCCTCCAAATAAATGTTCATTTCTCTATACCATAATATAATAATGTTGGACCAAGAAACCACCAATGCATTTATTAACTGTGTGAAGAAACAACAAGCATTAGTAGAAGGATGGGGTGAAAGGGACTCTGGGGTTAGCATTGAGGAGGGCACTTGTTGGAATGAGCACTGGGTGTTGTATGTAAGTGATGAATCATGGGAATCTACTCCCAAAGCCAAGAACACACTGCATACACTGTATGTTAGCTAACTTGGCAATAAATTATATTTTTAAAAAATTTAATACTGGAAAAAAAAATAAAAATAAAAGGCAAAGCAACACCAAAACAAACAAACAAATAAAATAAACATTTAAAAATTTTTTTAATGTTTTAGAGATTTAATAAATATTACTTGCTGGTAGTATTTATAAGCCTTTGGAGGGCATGCTATTATATGTTATTTTAATAGAGTTTAATACAATGTTTTCTGTAATAGGACTCAGTAAATGTCCATTTGATATGCCTGGAGATGACAGGATGAATGTATTGGGGGTAACTTTCCTGCCGTGGCAGGTTGTTGAGAGTAGGCTTTGTTGGGAGAGGACTGCTTGACCTGGTGAGTGGGGCAGAGAGGCTAATAGTCCCTGAAGCACAGAGTGCTACATCCTGGGGACCCCATCACCAGAAGGGACCACAGAGTGGTGGAATCCAAACGGAGGAGCTCCCGAAGTCCAGGAAGTCAGTGTGAGCAAAGAAAAAGCCCTCGGGCCTGGCTCTGCTTCCAGCTTAGTTCTCTTTGGATTTCAGTTTCCTCATCTGAAAAATGCTTTCTAAGACCCCTTACTGATCCACTAAATAGAAAAAATATTAACTTAAAAATAATACAAATGGTATGCAATCTACAACCAAAGTCATTTGGTGGGTGATTTCATAGTTTAGCATTTTGGTAAGGTTTACAGGTTCTGGAGACAGACTGGGTGTAATACGCAGCTCAGCTACTTACCGTGTGTAACATCTTGGACAAATTACATAGTCCCTGGGGGCCTCAGATTCCTTTTCTGTAAGAAAAATAATAATTTCCATTTCATAAGGTTGTTAGGACAATTAAATAATTTTTAATGTGCTCAGATCAGTGATGACATCTGATCTGATGTAGACATCACACATCACACATGTAGAAGTGTTAGCTAGTGTCACTAGCATCAGACCTATTGAAGTGTCATTATCTGTTAAAGATTAGAAAAATACAAAAGTAAGAAGCTTGAATAAGTCAACTTTTTAATTAAAGTCACAGATATTGACATACGTATCTGAAGTGTTGATCGAGGGCAGGAGAAAGACAGGAAGTGATAGAAAAGACCAAATGCCTGACCATTGCCATAGACAGTAACCAGAGTAAGGAAACACTTATCAGAAATGCAAGAATAAATATGAACAAATAGCTCTTTAAATAGTGTAATTTCAAAATACTGGCAAGGAAAGGAAAAAGAACAGAATACACTTTCCAAAGATAGACCCACACTTATATGGTCAATTAGTTTTCAACAAAGGTGCCAAATTAGATAATTCAATGGAGAAAAGAGCCTTTTCAATAATAGGTACTGGAACTACTAGATATTCTATATGGAAAAACATTATCCTTGACCCTCACTTCACACCATATAAATATTAACTCAAAATGGATCATAGACCTAAATGTAAAAGCTAAAACTAATTATACTTTTAGAAGAAAATGGTTGTGACATTAGATTAGGCAAAGACTACTTAAGCAGGACACAAAAGCATAATCTATAAAAGAAAAAATGATAAATGGACTTCATCAAGATTAAAAATTATTGCTCTTAAAGATAAACCACAAGTCTGGATGTATTTCTGCAAAACATGTATCTTACACAGTTTATGAGAGACACCACTCAATAATAAGACAGACAACACAATTTTCAAAGCTTGGCCAAAGATTGGAACAAAGAGTTCACAAGAGAAAATACACAAATACAAATGAATATATGAAAAGAAGTTCAACAGCTAGTCATCAGACAAAATAAATTAAAACCATAATGAGATATATATAGTATGTATATATATATATATATATTTTTTTTTTTTTAATATTTATATTTGAGACCTAGAGAAAGCATGAGCGGGACGGGGCAGAGTGGGAGACAGGAACTGAAGCAGGTTCCATGTTGACAGCAGAGAGCCTGACGTGGGGCTCAAACTCACGAGCAATGAGATCATGACCTGAGCTGAAGTCGGATGCCTAGCTGAGTGAGCCACCCAGGTGCCTCCATAATAAGATATTTTGAAGTGATGTTATTAGATACATAAAAGTTTAGAACTGTTATAAAGATATATAGTGGCATCATTCTACAAATTTGGTTTGTTGCGTACAATGTTGTGAATATATTCTTTGAATAATATTTATTAGATTTTCTTGAATACCTTTCCTCAAAAGATATACAAATAGATTTCAAATATATATGTTATATATAACCTTGCTGTGTTTTTAAAATTAGTTTTGCTTTGGTTTTTGTTTTGTTTTTAAGTAAACTTCACGCCCAGTGCAGAGCCCAACATGGGGCTTGCACTCACAAAACTGAGATGAATACCTGAGCTGAGATTAAGAGTTGGATGCCTAACCAACTGAGCCACTCAGGCACCCCTAAGATAGTTTTAGCTACTAATTTTTTAGTGAGAAAAAAAAATGCAGTGAAATACAAACCTACAAGAATAGCTAAAACTTAAAAGACTGACAATAACAAATGTTGGCAAGAATGTGGAGCCACTGGAACTCACGTGTTGCTAGTGGGAATGCAAAAGGGTACAGCCACTTTGGAAAATATTATGGCAGTGACTTATGAAGTTAAATATACATTTAGCATATGATCCAGCAATCCAACTAGGTAACTACCCAAAAGAAATGAAAACATATGTACACACACACACATACACACGTACATGAGTGTTCATAAAGCATATTCATAATAGCCAAAAACTAGGAGCGACCCAGGCGTCCATAAACAGGACAATGGATAAAGAAACTGGAATATCTATAAACAAAACATTATGCAGCAATAAGAAGGAAGTGAACCATGACCATGTGACCACTTGGATGCATCTCCAAAACATGCTGAATGAAAGAAGCATAACACAAAACACACACCATATGATTCTACTTTCATGAAGCTCTTGAACAGGCAAATGTAACCTATGGTAGAAACATTTGAATTATCGGTTGCTTCTGCAGGGATTGGGAAGAGGAAAAAAAACGTCCAAGAGACTGAGGTCATAAAGTGTATAACGCAGCTCACTACTCCCCTCTTTCTGCACCTTACACTTAAATGGCTTAGTTGCCATTCACCTACTTCCTTCAAGTAGCTCTTATCCTTGTCTCAGCAAATTTTACCTCCTATACTGGCATTTTGGTCTTAGGACATTGACAGTTTGATGAATAAGGTAAAGAATTCATCAGAGAGACCACACAATGTGAAATAATACATCGTGTTAACCTTCCAGACATGTCTCAGGGGTCAGAAACCCAACTGGTCACTGTTTTAGAAAGAGTACTGATAAAAATAGTTACAATCAGAGAGGGAGGGAGGCAAACCATAAGAGACTCTTAAATACAGAGAACAAACTGAGGGTTGATGGAGGGGTCAGGGGTGAGGGAAAATGTGTGATGGGCAGTGAGGAGGGATGAGCAGGGGGTGTTGTATGTAAGCGATGAATCACAGGAATCTACCCCCAAAACCAAGAGCATACTGTATATACTGTATGTTAGCCAAGTTGACAATAAATTATATTTTTAAAAAAAGAAAGAGTACTAATAAACTATTACTATAATAACATCTGTAATAACATCGACAGACCTCAAAGGAGATCCTGAAAGCTAGGATAAAAATATATGACATATAGTACCATTTATGCAAGTGTGAAAAGCATATGTACAATGCTGTATTTTTAGAGTCATATGTATGAATAAAAGTATAAATGTAGAGACAGGAAGTATATGCACTAACTTCAGTATGATGGCTGCTTCTGGAAGGAGAAAAGATTAGGACTGGGGAATAGTATGAAGGAGACATCAGTTACATCTAAATCTATTTACTGTCTATCTAAATAGATATCTGCAGCAAATAAGGCATGTTGTTGAAATATTGTTAAGTTTGGATTGGGGTAGATATTTTGGATATTTTGTAACAGTGGTCTCTGTACTTCTCTGTGTGTTTGGAACTTTTCATAGTCAAGCACAATAGGAAGAGTGGGACAGACACCAGCCTGGCAGGGCTGGCCCACCAGCTCTGCTTCAGGCCTCATGTCCCCCAGCTCTTCCCACCTTGATGTATTTAACAGAAAAAAATAAAGCCATGTCTCACCAAGAGCCTTCTTAGTAGCTAGCATCTTCTGTGAAGGAACATCTCCTTTCTCTCCTAGCAAGTGTTCTCAAGAATATCTATTGATAACTACATCTTCCCTTTTCTGACTATCAACTTCTATCAACCTATAATTCCCAGGAAATGGAGCTCCAGTCCAATACAGGTCCAGTCAAAGCAGTCATGTCTGAGCCACATTGTTCTTTGGAACTGGAGCATAACCTTAAAGGTCCTTTCCGACCTGGGGTTTCTAAGATGGCTTGTTTTTTTCAAGTTATAAGATGCTTTTCTCCTCTACCACCAGTAGAACAACGCCATCACTCACCTATAGCTTGGGATTTTTGTTTTCACTTTTTAATAACGCAGTTAGCAACTTAACCACTGGGTGCTACTCTTGTTGCAAACAAAACAACTATTGAAAATAAACCATTTATCTGGAAGCAGCATCTAGTGCATCTATGAGCACACATGGTAAACTGAGAGGGACCAGCTTTTAGGGAGAGATACCGCTTATAATTGTCGTATTTCATCAAACCCAATATGCCATCAATTTGAAGATGAATAACTACTTTGTATATCTCTAAGAAGGAAAAGATGTAGCCAAACTATGATATCCCATCCTGATTTCAGAGATGTTAAAATGGGGAAAATGTGCAATATATTCAATACTTAAAAAGCACTACTACTACGTCCATCTGAAAGTTAAGCAAGTGGTCATAAACAACGTTTTTAGACAGCTAGTGTTGATTTAACCCTTATCTAGTGTTACTGTGCGCCAAGTACTGTTCTTAGTATTTTATAAATAATGGTTAAAGTGAATTATTGAAATCCTTGAAAGTAACCGGTGACAGAAGTACTGTTATCACCCCCACTTTACAGATCAGGAGGCTGAGGCGTTGAGACATTAAGAAATTTTCCCAAAGTCAATAAGTAGCAGATCTGAGCTTCAAACTCTGGTCATTACCCTCAATGTGTTCTTCTCACCACTAAGGAATGCGATGGCCTACAGTAAATGTTGTGTGAATAAGTGCACGAGTGACTGAATGAATGCAACGAGTGACTGAATGAATGCAACGAGTGACTGAATGAATACAAAGAAGAATCAGCACCGATTTCAAGCACGGGACTTAGCATGAATGTCCCCCGTCTGCCCCTCGTCCTCAGGAAAAGGGCCAGCACGTCTTCCTTAAGTTCAAGGCCTTAGTACATTTTAAAGGAAGTGAAGAAACCAGAGCAGGGAGTGGGCCATTTATCTGGAAGCAGCATCTAGAATTTTCAAGGTCTCCTTAACTATCAGTGAGTGACGAGATTGCTTTATCTGGGACACTCGATGATTGGAGAAGGCACGATGTGCTATTACCAGAAAAGGTCAGACTCCAGATCAGCATTAGTTTCCAACCAAATTCACTACCACTGTCAGCATTCTTTGATGATGGTTCAGGTCAGGTGAGTGTCTACATTAAATGTGTGACTTGAATATTCACCTAAACCCCTGTTTATATTTTCTTTGGGACACATATCACATGTCAGCATATCATGCCATATACTTAGTGATTTTCCTTGTTGACGGACTCTGTTCCAGAACATAGCCCTAGAATCTCAGTCTGCACTATTCATTGATGGACAGCAAAGACCCAACCAACCGTGCGTGTGCCTGGGACACAGCTAGTGTTCAATGACTGATGGTTGAATGAATGGATGAATTTCTGCACCTTGTAAGCCATATCTGCCAAATTATGATCTTACTGACAAAACAAATACAGCTACTCTTTATTGAAAGTTTACTATACACCAGGCCTGGGGCTTAGTACTTTACATTTCTTTTGATGTTTCAGAGGCCTCCTGTGACCATGGTATTAGTCCTCCTTTGCAAATCAGAGGACACTGAGACGCAGGCTAAGTGAACTGCCTAAGCTCGCACAACTGGCAAGGTGCAGAGCGGGGTTGAATTCCAGTCTGCAGGACTGCAAAGCTGGTTCTCAAACACTGGCTTGAACACCCGCTATGTAGGAGGGCTGTGTGCACAGCGCCAGGAAAGCAGTGACTCTGTGGGTTCATTGTCTGAGTCTTGATTTCAGTTCTGGTCATGATCCAAGGGTCATGGGATTGAGCCCCATGTTGAACTCTGTGCTGAGCATGGAGCCTGCTTAAGAGTCTCTGTCTCTGTCCCTCTCCCCCTCTCCGCTGCCCCCCTCTCTTAAAAAAAAAAAAAAAAAGAACAGATTTTTCTGCACTCTAAATAGGACTGGTAAGTCCCAGAGTCCAGTGATCCCACTGACCTCGACCAGCTCCCCTTCCTTTGTTGCACGGGACATGCTCACAGGAGGAAAAATGGGGCTCCCCTCTCGAGTCCACCCTTGTCCCCTGGCACAGAGCCTTGTCACAGTGTCATGCTTGTTCACAGTGATGTTGACATGTCAGACACACTCACTTCCTGAAGTCCAGATGAAATCGTGGCGTTCTTTGAAGTGTGGTTTAGGGGGGAAAAGCTAGCCCTTTGGAATCACACAGTCCTGGGTTCAAACGCGATTTTTGTATTTTTACCTGTGGGACATTTGAACGTTATTTGATCCTTCTGGGCTTGGTTTTTTCACTGGTTAAGTGGGACTACTGATACTTACCTTGCAAATTTGGGGGGGAAGTTAAAAAAGATTCTTGCACTAAACATGCCCCTCCTCTTTCATAAGGAGACATAAGGCACAAACCAGCATTCCTTTTCCCTGTTAGAAAAAAAGGTAAAAGTATAAAGAATAATGGCATTTAAAATTCCCACAGCAATTTGTCTCATCTTGATGTTCTGCTTTGTGGACAGTGGGCTCAGGGCAAAGAAAAGAGAATGGGGGTAGTTTTTCTTCAAGGTCCCTGTACCCTGAGGTGTGTACCTCTGTTGTGAGTTGTACAGAGGGAGTAAATAGTGAGGGGAGGAAGAGGGAAGGAAAGTTTGGGGAGATTCGCCCAAATTTGCAGTTGCAACTTGAATGGGTTATCTTTTGTTGTTGTTGTTGTTGATTTGTAGAGCTATTTATATATTCTAGAATAATTATTCTTCTATCGGTTATAAGCATGCAAATACCTCTTTATGGTTTACAGCTTGTCTTTTGATTTATTTCTTGGTATTTTTTTGTTGTTTAGTTGTGTACTTATTTATTGCTTTAACAGTTCAAAAAGGCAGGGGGGACCTGGGTGGCTCAGTTGGTTAAGCTCCTGACCTTGGCTTAGGTCATGATCTCGTGGTTCATGAGTTTGAGTCCTGCATTGGGCTCTCGGCTTTTGGCTCAGAGCCTGGAGCCTGCTTGGGATTCTGTGTCTGTCTCTTTCTGCCCCTCCCCTGCTTGTGCTCTCTCTCTGTCTCTCAAAAAGAAATAAACATTAAAAAAAAAAAGTTCATAAAGGCAAATAAAGCCCAATGTTAGCTTAAGAAAAAAACTAGGTAAATGGATGTTTAACTGGTGAACGAGTTTGTGTCAGGCTGTTACAGTTATTCTTTTTGATATTTTATGTTATTCATGAAGTGAAACATCAAAAAATCCCTTTGGCCTTTGTTCCCCTCACCTCAAGGCCTAAAGGAACCAGCTACACAAACCCCTTTCTTTCCCTGATCTTAAACTTACTTTACTGAAGGCTATCGAACACAGGATAAGAAACCTGCATCTAGAGATGACTTGGAACTCTGGGGACATTCTTGGCAGAGACACCCAATCACAGGAACAGCCCCGGGCCAAGTTGTGAAAGAGGCTACGTGTCTCTGGGCGCCTCCATTCCTGAACCCCCACCCTGTCCTTTCAACATCTCTTCCCCCCAGGCACCCGGCAGTCTCCTTGGATTCCCAAAGTCACCTCTCCCAGCACGAGACACACATACTTAGTCACAGAAAAGGAAGACTTACTAAAAGTGAACTCAACCCCAGAGGTGTTTACCTTTTGAAAATCTTTACAGAGTGGTCAGAAAAAGATGCAGGAAACGGCCCAGATTCCTTAGTGAGGGGTCTCTCACAAGCCATCACAGAATGACCCAGGAGACCTCTCAAAAGGTCCCCACACGTCCACAGCCACGGTGCTCCTAGAGCGCAGAGACTCCCATTTTGTTCAACAGCCGCGCCCAATAGCAGGCTGGCCTGTGGTGCTCTGTAGGCAGAAAACAAGTCTGTGTCGAAAGAGTTAAATGACTTCCTGTCTGTGTTGTTCTGTGCCAGTCACGGTGGGAAACATGGGGCATGTGTCTGTGAAGAGAACACAAAGCTTCCTCTCCTCAGGGAACTTCCATTTCGTGCCTGTGGTGCTGAGGGCAAGGGGATGGGCATGTTGAGAAGGTCCATGCATAAAATAAGTAAATTTCTATTATCTGTGGCAATGAATACTTTGGAGATGGGGTGCCTGTGTGGCTCAGTCTGTTAAGGGTCTGACTCTTGATTTGGGCTTAGGTCATGATCTTGTGGTTGGTGAGATCGAGCCCTGCATAGGCTGGCGTGGAGCCTGTTTGGGGTTCTCTCTCCCCACCCCCTGCCCCTCCCCCACTCACATGCGTGTGTCTCTCTCTACCTCCTTCAAAGATAAATACATACATACATACATACATACATACTTTGGAGATAAGCAAAGCAGGAAAGGGGACCAAAGGGCAAGGGGAGGGGCCTTTGCACTTTGACGTAGGAAGGTCGGGGTGTCATTTGAGCACAGAAGGTGAACATGAGGCCTTGTAGGGAAAACGGAACAGCAAGTGGACGAAACCCCTCAGCCCTCCAATATTCCCTGTCTTTGAAGACTGAACCTCTCAAGTACTAAGATATTATGCAATGTCTTGCTTCAGTGCTTTGCATACACTGTTCCCTTTCCCTGATCCCTACCCACCTGTCTTTTCTGCCTAGCCAATTCCTTCTTGTCCGTCAAGACCCATATCAGATGCCACCTCCCCTATGAAACTTTCTCCAAAGCCTCCAGGCACTTGTCATTGCTACTTCCTTTGCACTCCCATAATGCCATGCTCACTGCTTACTAGAAGCTCTCATTTAGTACTTTTCCTGGGGCATCACACGTGTTTTGCAGAATTCTCACAACAAGGGGTAAGCTATTACTATCATCCTCGCTGTTAGACATATGAGGAAACAGGTCCTAACAGGTTGAGTAACTTGTCCCCGATCATCAGCTAGGTTTGGAAGACAGGACGTGAAAGTCAACAACCCACGCTCCAAAACAAGGCTCTCCCCGCAATTCCAGAAGCCTCACCTTGCACTGGGTAAATTATATTTGTGTCAGAGTTTTCTGCTATTTCTTGATTAACTTGAGGACAGACACCATTTCTGTTTGAATGGGGGAGGGGTTGTCTGGGGAGTAGCAGATAAATATTTGGTCAGTGAATAAAGGGATGAATCAGTCACCAACAGTTCAGGCATTCATGTGGAATTTATTTTTGAGCTCGGGCCTTCCTGTGCTGTCTAAATCATACCTTCGAAGTGACTCCTTACTCCACCTGACCCCACCAGAACCAAGTGGTGCTGGGGAAGGGATTCCTTCCACAGTTAGATATTGCTTCCTTTATTGTCTCCTTTGGGGGCTCTGAAGTAAAATGGTTTGCAACAGCTAGGGGAGCGCAGGTCAGCACTGGAGCGCAGAGTGTATGGAGGGCGGGGCAGCACTTGGGCCCAAAGGCCCCTGAGTAGCCTGGACCCAGATGGTAAGACATTCTCTCCTCTGCCTCCCAATTGTCTCAGAGTTTCTCCCCCAAACACATTGACAAACCTCAGATGCCAGGTCTCCAGGCAGGATATAAAGAGACTGGGTTCCCCGAGTCTTTCTGAAAAGGTAAAAAGTATAGTTTGCTGTTGGCTGGGCCCTAAAATAATAAATGAGATCTATGGCCATATTCTAATAAGGGAGAAAAGGGAAGGCAGGTCTGAGGGTGACCAAGAAGGTGACCACGAAGGGACAAGGTGGTCTTAGAGAAGGCAATTTACTCATGGAGAATTTTCCCTCTTCCTGGTAGACAGCTCTGAAATGTTTTCTGACTCAGTTACCTGGGTTGAGGGAAAGGAGCTGCTTTTGCTTCTGGTAGTTGGAGATGGTATTTTTCTTCTAAATCAGGGTAAGGAAATATTTATGTCATATTAGTTTACTTTCTAAAGGACTTTCTAACAGTCAGTATCTCAATATTAAACTCAAAGTTGCTAATAATTCCTACTCCACCTCCCTCATTCAATCATTCAACAGTATTAGGAATCAAGGATATGCCTGGTTTGTGCGATGAGCCTCGGAAACCAAGAAGCCACGGTCTGTCTTCAAAGGGGCTTCAGTCCAGAAGGGGACAGACAGTAAGTGCGGCAGCAGGCACAGGTACCGTGACTGTCAGGGCCACCCCTGCAGCTCAAAACAGGGGAGACAGGCTCCAAAGATGAATCATGTGTGAGCAAAGACTTGGAAATATTTTAGTTGTTTTTCTTTGCTGGGGGGATTGGATGGAAGAAGACTCAGAGCCTGTTTTAAATGGAATTATTTTATTGTTTAAACTTGAAAGCGATTCATTATGTTTTTAAGGGTGATGGAAGGACTGAGACAGAAGCCCCGAAGTATTCCGTTTTCACAAAGCCCCGACACCCCCTTCTAGGGTGGGTAAGATTTCAGGTCCATGGGGAGGTGGGGAGAAGTGGGGACACCCCACACCATACCGCACGACCCACACCCCAGTAGAGGTAGAGGTAAGGCATGACCCTCGGGTGCCTCTCTGTAAAACCGAAGTGTCGCATTAGATATTCTCTCCAAGGCTGAATCGAGTGCTCTCATTTTGCAACTCCACCCTATCAACCATTTTCATCTCAGTGTGCTTTTTATGGTATGTTATCTTGAAAGTTGAGGGTTTGCGATCAGAGAGCAGGGAGTCAGTAAGGGTAAGGTGGGGAAGAGTCTGAGGGAGGTTGAGAGTGAGGGAGCACTGTGCGGTGAGGTGCGGTGAGGTGGGGTGGGGTGGGGTGAGGTGGGGTGGGGCAGGAAAATCACTTGAAAGGGAGACTTCTTCTGATCCTTATCCTTTTGTCTTTGGCATTTTCTTTTCCCCACTAGTGACCAGTGTTTCTTCACTGGACATAATGATAGATAACCAGCATCACCAAGGCATTTGTTTAACGCTTTGGTCCCACTAGGAGTCCCAGTCTTCATTTGTTATACTTTAGTGTGGGCCAGGTACTGTGTGCCTTTGGACAATGCTTGGAGAGAGTTTTGAAGCAGATGCCTTCAAACTATGCCATGAAAGAATAAATAAGGAAAGTAAAAACAAGAAAGCTTTGTTTAGAATCTTGCTATTTACAAAGAAGTGTGTACCTCATTCCTCCGGGCACAGCCCAGTTGGGCTGTGCCACTCTACATCTTTCTGGAGAGGAAAGCAAGGGCACGTGGAGTTAGAAAGCTTACCCAAGGTTATACGTCTGGTTGTTACCAGATGTGGACCGCAGGGCACAAATATTAAGGGAAAAGATGAAGGGAGAGTGAAGAATCCCCTCCTTTTGGTGCAAGTGGGCCAGCAAGGCAAATGATACCCCCTTACTCCAGCCTGAAAAATGAGAAGGGGTCACCCACACATATGGTGCAGTGAGCACACATCATTTCCTGCTCTGCAGCTGCCTTCTCAGTATCTGAGAAGCCCCCCTTTATTCTGCTTAGAAACAGCTCCCTAAGAAACAAACCTCCTCTGGGGTGTTTAGGACTGAGTGTGTTTGCCAGTGTAACAGTTTTTCTTTCTTTCTTTCTTTCTTTCTTTCTTTCTTTCTTTCTTTCTTTCTTTCTTTCTTTCTTTCTTTCTTTCTTTCTTTCTTTCTTTCTTTCTTTCTTTCTTTCTTTCTTTCTTTCTTCCTTCCTTCCTTCCTTCCTTCCTTCCTTCCTTCCTTCCTTCCTTCCTTCCTTTCTTCTATCTATCTATCTATCTATCTATCTATCTATCTATCTATACTATATTTATTTTGAGAGACAGAGAAAGCACAAGTGGGGGAGGGTCAGAGACAGAGGAGAGAGTGAGAAACCCAAGCGGGTTCCACACAGACAGTGTGGAGATGGATGCTGGGCTCAAACCTACGAACCATGAGATCATGACCTGAGCCAAAGTTGGACAGCCCTTCCTGCCCAGCTCCCATGAAGAGAGAGGGTGTGACTCAGCAGACACCCGGGTTGGGGGTTGGGGTAAAGGTGGGAGGAAGGTGAGGAGAGCACCGAGCACCGCAGTGTGGCTCAGGGATTGTTTGGGGTCCCACCCTGGCCCCCCTACCCCCAAAGTAGCAGTGAACTGAGCCTTCCATCTGTGGCCTTGTGCCCTTTTACCCTTTCATGGGCCCAAATGGGCTTCCACCCAGACCACAAGCTTAGACAGAATCCTAAGTATGAAAATATAACATTAAAAGAAAAACAAATATAAATAACTATTGTCTTTCTTTTTATAAAAAACATGATTATATAGGATCTCTATTATAATTTCTTCCTCAAAGAATTTTGGGGGTTTTCCTCCTCCCAACTGTACTGCAAGGTGAGTTCAAGGTGAAATCCCAGAGCCTAATGTAGGGCTTGCTGCTTGGAAAGTTTTTATTGACCAAAGAACCCTCCCAATCCCCAACCGCACACCTAAGGCTGAGAAGAAGGTGAGGTGAAGGTGAAGGTGAAGGTGAGGTGAAGCAAGGAAGGCTAGGATCTTCTCCAGTAAGTGTAAGTGAGGATTTTAGAGTTTAACAAAGATGGCTGCAGTTTGGGGTGGACCAGGACTCCTTCCCCCCACTCCCTGCCTCCCTCCCTGTTCTCGCTCTCTCTTTCCCTCCCTCCTTCTCCCCTCCCTCTTCTCTCTCTCCCCCGCTCCCTCCCCCCTTGTCCCTTCTATCTCTCTCTTTCTTTTTTATTTTAATTGGGAAAATATGAGCACACATGGTAAACTGAGAGGGACCAGCTTTTAGGGAGAGATACCGCTTATAATTGTATTTCATCAAACCCAAAATGCCATCAGTTTGAAGATGAATAACTACTTTGTATATCTCTAAGAAGGAAAAGATGTAGCCAAACTATGATATCCCATCCTGATTTCAGAGATGTTAAAATGGGGAAAATGTGCAATATATTCAATACTTAAAAAGCACTACTACTACGTCCATCTGAAAGTTAAGCAAGTGGTCATAAACAACGTTTTTAGACAGCTAGTGTTGATTTAACCCTTATCTAGTGTTACTGTGCGCCAAGTACTGTTCTTAGTATTTTATAAATAATGGTTAAAGTGAATTATTGAAATCCTTGAAAGTAACCGGTGACAGAAGTACTGTTATCACCCCCACTTTACAGATCAGGAGGCTGAGGCGTTGAGACATTAAGAAATTTTCCCAAAGTCAATAAGTAGCAGATCTGAGCTTCAAACTCTGGTCATTACCCTCAATGTGTTCTTCTCACCACTAAGGAATGCGATGGCCTACAGTAAATGTTGTGTGAATAAGTGCACGAGTGACTGAATGAATGCAACGAGTGACTGAATGAATGCAACGAGTGACTGAATGAATACAAAGAAGAATCAGCACCGATTTCAAGCACGGGACTTAGCATGAATGTCCCCCATCTGCCCCTCGTCCTCAGGAAAAGGGCCAGCACGTCTTCCTTAAGTTCAAGGCCTTAGTACATTTTAAAGGAAGTGAAGAAACCAGAGCAGGGAGTGGGGCATGGCGTATGGAAGGGAAAGAAAAGTTGCAAAATAATCAGCATGACTGTTTTGTACTTGTAACTCCGCTATTCGTCCAACTGGAGTCTAATGATTTATCAATAAGCTCTTCCGGACCGTGAAAAAGGATGGTGTTCTGGGAGAGAGTGCCACCTATTGAATGACCATCACCACAGCTGGAGAATTTCATCAGGGATACCCAAGGCAATGGGACAAAACAGCTTCAGAAATGGACCTATGACAGGAAAGCCAACTTCCCAACAAATGGTCTTGTTCCTAAAGTTGAGTTCTTATCCAGGTCATTACCAGATGGTAATACTCAGAAAGCCTCCTTATAAGAGGTTAAAGAATCTGGAAAAGATCTCTTTGGCCCAACCAGTGAGGACTCTGCTGAATTCAATGGCCTGACTTGTGCAGTGTTGAGTCCAGGTTCTCTCTCTCTCTCTTTCTTGTTTTTTTAAGTGTTTTTGTTTTGTTTTGTTTTAATTTACGTCCAAGTTAGTTAGCACATAGTGCAACAATGATTTCAGTAGATTCCTTAAGGCCCCTTACCCATTTAGCCCATCCCCCCTCCTACAACCCCCTCCAGCAAACTTCTGTTTGTCCTCTAGATTAAGAGTCTCTTTGGGTTTGTCCCCTTCCCTGTTTTTGTATTATTTTTGCTTTCCTTCCCTTATATTAATCTGCTTTGTAGCTTAAATTCCTCATAGGAGTGAAGTTATATATTAGTCTTTCTCTGACTGACTAATTTCACTTAGCATAATACCCTCCAGTTCCATCCAGGTCCAGGTTATTTCTGAGCTACATACTGCTGCAGTGAACACAGAGGTAAACCTACACTCTTAGGAAGGAGGAAAACTACCAGATATTGAGTCGCTATTATATGCTTTATAAAAATATTAATTTCACCTTTATTCATACAGTAACTATTCAAGGCAGTTACTGTGTGCCAAGCACTGCCCCAGAAAATGGAAAAACAGTACTGAACAAAGGCAGTGGTCTGGATTCCTGCCCCTCAGCAGCTTACGTGGGGGCCGAAGGAGCAATTGACAGAATATAAGCAAGTACTATTGTATTTGAGACAGTGGTAAATGCTGCTGAGAAAATGAAACCGGAAAATGGGGTAAGAGCGGTCACAGTACTTAAAACTACCAACGATCTTGTGAGACGGTGTTATTATTCCCATTCCACAGGCTCTGAGAGGGAAAGTATTTAGTTCAAGTTCCTTTGAACTCAATTGAGAGCGAATGAGTGAGCAATGGAGCTAGCTAGGATTTAATTCTCGGCCTTTCTGAATCTAAAATGGTCTCACACCACTCCACAAGGCTGTCCAGGAAGAGTGAAGATGGGCAAGCAGTAGAAGATGGACTAGTTGGCATGCTAGGTCAATTATCAGTTCTATTTTGTTGTAAGAATTGTTTATAATACCCAAGCGTCTCACAGCACCTGGGTGGCTCAGTCGGTTAAGTGTCCAACTTCCACTCAGGTCATGATCTCACAGTTTGTGGGTTTGAGCCCTGAGTCGGGCTCTGTGCTGACAGCTCAGAGCCTGGAGTCCGCTTTGTATTCTGTGTCTCCCTCACTGTCTGCCCCTCCCCCACTCACGTTCTATCTCTCTATCTCTCATAAATAAATACATGG